CACATCACATGCGGTTTATGAATTAGCGTCTAAAATAATGTATCATTTAAATAACGGTGATAAGTGCATCGCTTTGTTTTTGGATTTAGCAAAGGCATTTGACACGGTATCTCATCCTATGCTCCTCCAAGCACTGGAGGGACATGGAGTTAGGGGTGCTGTGTTAAGTGTATTTAGAGATTATTTAATGCATAGGATTCAGTGTGTCAGGATTGCGGACGTTCTAAGTGAACCTAAGACGGTTCAGCATGGAGTTCCACAGGGTACAGTACTTGGGCCAATTCTTTTTAATATATATGTAAATTACCTCTGCAGTCTTGCAGTTGATGGCGATGTAATTGCCTATGCTGATGACACTGTGGTGGTGTTTCATGGAGAGACATGGGAATCAACGGGTGAAAAATTGAAGACTGATTTTGCAAAAATTAAAAACCTTCTGGACACATTTAAATTAACTCTGAATATAAAAAAAACTCATTACATTGCCTTCTCTATAACCATGGCTAATAGACCAGCATTTAATCAAATTAAACTTGATAATATTGATGAGCCTTTGAAAGAAGTAAATGAAATTAAATATTTGGGGGTTGTTGTTGATAAGCACTTGAAGTGGGACCGACATGTGCTGTATTTGAGCAAAAAAATTAGATTTTTCATTCATAAATTCTACGCTCTTCGTAATATACTGAACATTAAACTACTATTAATGATTTACAAAGCACTTGTGGTGCCACTATTGGTATATGGCATAATTGTGTGGGGTGGGATGTACGGTTCAAATCTTGGGCAGCTAAAAGTGGTGCAGAACCATATTGTAAGGATCATTCTAAAAAAACCTAGATTATATCCCACTATGCAACTTTATTCACAAGAAATAAACAATATTAAAATCTTATATATCCTTGCAGTATGTAGTTTTGTACATGCAAGTAAGAAATTAAATACAAATTATGTGTCCCACAATTATATGACCCGAGCAAACACCACTCATAACCTGAACGTCCCGCAGTCCAGGCGAGATTTAAATTTGCGTTTTGTGACATATCTTGCAAATAAATTTTACAATTTGATTCCTGCTAATATCAGGAATATTGGAAATAATAAAAAATTTAATATTTCGTTTAATATGTTCTGTTGGGAAAATCGTGAACAATTTATGCGTCTATTTTAAGTTGCTTTGAGGTAGATTGATCTGCCTATTTGTTCCATCTCTTTCTTTTTGATATTATTGTGACACTTTTTTTCTGTGATCTTAAGTTAAATCTATTACTTACAAAAATATGAAACTTTCTTTCATTTTGTGTATATCGTGTATCATGTTTTGTTTGTATAGTTGAGTGATTTTATACAAGAAATATATATTGCACGATATTTATCAATTAATTACTGTTTTGGTCTGTTTTTGCGCATACAAGTTTTTAAACTTAGGCGCTCATATATTATAGAGAAACCTTGTTTTTGTTTCGTTAATTTACAGATATATATTATTTTTATATTGGTAAATTTTGGTTCTGCTGAATAAATGTGGTAGAGTTCAGGGCGTACTGTTCTCTCCAACAACTCAACTCAACTCAAATGCAATTTAATTCGATAGCACCTTTCTAATCCACCATATGACATTGTATGAAAAACCTGTAATTTTTGTATACACCTTTCTTCCTAGTAGATCATACAATAAGTTAGCAGACGGCGAATTTGAATTTTAACTTCCTCTCTGATGCAAATTTCCGGTAAAAAAACCTCTCCTATGTAAAAGGGACATTCCCAGCGGACAAATGGAGTTACGTATGGCAGCGATATAGGACAGCTCTCTCGAGTAGTTCATAAAAAAAGAATCCGCCGTAAAGCACTTTGACCCTTTCCGAGCGTCAAGCCCTTTGTGCGTGTCTGATTGACCCATTGTCATCCATCGCCGAAGCCAAGTACAGGTGGGGCTGTCGGAACGGTAAACTCGTAAAACACAAATGAAATACTCGACAAGGGTATTTTTATAATCCCCCATGCTTGTCCGGCCAATAGAAGCACATGTATTGACATCTTTTTTTTACTGTTATGGTTTCAATCACAAAGGTATTTCGTATTTATCTGTCTTCCAAGTGACAGTGCTTAATGTCTCCTGGATAAAGTGCGCATCCCTCCGCAGCCGGAAAATCAATTGGCGGAATACCAGCCACCACCAATCGGTCGACATCGTTCTGTAGGCGCATGCCACGTACTACTTTGCGTCAAGAAGCATATCCTTTTCACCGATTGTAGCTTCGACGCCCTGTTTATAGAGTGCGCAGCCAGCCAATCAAAAAAAAAATCGATGGGTCTGAGCGTTTGCCACCCTGCCGAAATCCTGCGCCTCCCGCTGCTGGGGCCTCCGTCAGATGACAGCCGTATCAGAGATGCAACAAACTTATTTACGTTGTCAGTGGTGCGCCTTATATGTTCAGATGCTTGTCAAGTCACACATATCTAACTGTATTTTGGACCAGAATCTTTGAATTATCAATCTCAACAGCTAATGAAGTCTGCCAGAAAGTCCGTCTTCTCAGGAGCTAATTTCAATCCATTTTCTTCCATTCATAAGGTAAATCTCGTGATTCCGTATCCTTCAAGTGTACCTTTCTGATTTCTAGATGTCTTGGCACTGGGGGCTGCACAACTTGTGAGGGTACAAAGAAAGCTGGGATCAAGGTGCCCATTCACGCTCTTACACGGAAGCTGTGACGTCATGCCGTTTGAATCGACCAGTCAGAGTCGAGCGGCCCGTTTTCGATTCAGAGCATTCCATAAACCAGTCAACCTGAGGAGCGTTGAAATAGATTTGCCGTTATCAATTAATTAATATACTAAGTGACATATAAATCCGAACACCCAGTTTAAATGGTTTTATTTTAATAAAAGTTGGTGAATGTATTTATCTTACTGTAAATAACAGCCTTATCAGTTGGACATTCCGGTTTTTATACTGCTTTTTTTAATTCACTAACGCTCTAAAAATGAATATTTCAGCCGCAGTAAAGAATCAACGTTGGCGGATTTTGGTTCTTGACATCCTTTACGATCGGTTACGATGCCTAGAGTACGGAGACCTGTACGATTTCGTCAACTTAGTGAGTTTGATAGGGGCTGTATAGTGGGACTTCGGGAAGCTGGACTTTCTTTTCGGGCAATTGCAGTTAGAGTGCAAAGAAGTGTAGACACTGTGGTTAGGTGTTGTCAGGCATGGCATCGAGAAGGCCGTACGCAAAGAGCAAGGGGCACTGGACGCCGCCGTAGAACAACAGACCGTGAAGATCGCCGCCTAAGATTATTGGCCTTAAGGGACCGTTTCTCCACTACCAGGTCCATTGCAAATGAATGGTTTGCAGAACACGGAAGAGAAGTTTTGGCTTGTTTTCATACCGGCCACACTGGGTCCTCCCTTTAACTCGAGAACACCGACGTAATCGCCTTGAGTGGTGCAGACAACGGTCACTCTGGGATCAGGAATGGAACAGTATTGTCTTTAGTGACGAGTCTCGATTTTGTTTAGGCATGCACGATGGTCGTGCCAGGGTTAGAAGGCGACGTGGTGAAAGGAGGAATCCACAGTTTTTTGTTGAAAGACATGTTCATCACACTGTTGGAGTTATGCTTTGGGGTGCTATAGCTTATGGTTCCAGGTCACCTTTAATCTTCATCAGAGGTAACATGAACGCGCAGCGTTATATCCACGAAGTTCTAGAACCCCATCTTTTACCCTATCTTGACACCCTGGCAGATCCAACTTTCCAACAAGATAATGCCCGACCACATGTTGCAAGAATCACAATAGACTTCTTTCAACATAATGATGTCACATTGTTACAATGGCCACCAAGATCTCCCGACTTATCCCCAATTGAGCACGTGTGGGATATGATGGGTAGGAGATTGCTCAATTTGCAACGTCCTCCTCAGACTCTAGAAGCACTTCGAGAGGAGTTGGTGGTTGCCTGGAATGAGATACCACAGGAGGACATTGATCACCTGATCAGAAGCATGCCTAGGCGCGTTGGAGAATGCGTAGCACATCAGGGTGCATCCACACATTATTAAAGGTCAAAGGGCTTTAAAGCAGTGCAATTATTTTGAAATTTTTATCATTTACTTATTATGCTTCATTAAGTACTTATACAAAATTTTATTAAAATAAAACCATTTAAACTGGGTGTTCGGTTTTATATGTCACTTAGTATATGTATACAAATAGCGGTAAAGGACGATTAAGCTCAGCTCAAAAAGAAGCCACCGTGAGCCACTTTGACATTTGGGAAACCATTATGTTATTCGACAAATCAGAAAGCCATTGAGGTGACCGAAAAGCTAGTAAACTATCACTTTTAACATGAGCAACACTTACATTATCGGCATAACGAGCCCTTTTTTAAGTGTCCTATAATTATGAAAATTCAGAAATTTTGAAAGCACGAATAATAGAAATAATTTTTTTTTGAAAATTATGCACCAGAACAAATCTCCGCTTGAATCCCTCTGACTCAAGAGTTATTATTTTTTCTCTTAAGGATTCAAGGTCCCTTATTGAATATAATTTGAGAATTACTCTAAACTCAGATAGAAAGATCAGTTAAATACCTAGTTTTTCTTATCGATGAAGATCTCAAATTCATTTCTCGTGTAAACAATGTAACTAAAAATTGTATTACTCTTTTACGGCATACGTATGTACTTAAATAAATACTTGATTTTAGATCCAAAAAAAACTTTTGTGAATCTTTAATGATAGTATACTAGCCATTTTTAGATTCAGTTTCAAATAAACGTTTTTGTTTACATTTTCGTTTAAATTTTGGAAGAATATTTTGTTAAAATTGTTTTCAATATTCTAGTGCTAGTTATTTTCAAGGGTGGAAGTGATGACATAGCTTGTAGCTAAACTTCGCCTGAAATAAAAGGTGATTGTTATTATTATTATATTCTAGAACACTCCGCACAATTGGCATATTAATGGTGATAGCGATTGTTCTTACCAAATAAAATGCAAACCAGTAAGTTTGTACGTACCTGGAACAAAAAAAAGAATTTGTTAGTATGATACTTCACGATTGCACATCGAATGGTGTACTTAATTGAAGGTTTCAAATTAGTTATCTTAGCTGCAGGTATTTATGCATTTTATCCAGAGAAAATACGGAAATTACCAGATGAACTGAAGTTCCATTTATAATGGGTGTTTTTTTTGCTAGTATCTTTTTGGCAACACCGTTTTTGACAGATGACGCATGAATCGTGTCTCGTGTCATTGTCAAACTTGTTCAGTTTGGTCTATAATTTAACAATGAATCGACTTACGAACGATCAACGCTTGCGAATTATTGAATTTTACTATCAAAATTCATGCTCGGTTAAGAGAATGCATCGAGCACTGCTTCCAATTTATGGGCAATTTGGTCGGCCTACTGAGGGAGCTATTCGGAAGCTTGTGACTAAATTTCGAACCCGGTTTACATTACTGGATATTAAACCACCAACACGTAGACGGAGAGTGAGGACTGAAGAAAATATTGCGGCTGTATCCGCCAGTGTTAGTGATGACCGTCGATTCGCCACCGTTCGCAGCAATTGGGCCTCTGTTACTCCACTACGTGGGAAATTTTGCAACAGGATTTGGGTGTAAAACCTTATAAGATACAGCTGGTGCAAGAATTGAAGCCATAACGTTTTCAGTTTGGTGAATGGGCGCTGGCAAAGTTGGAGGAAGATCCACATTTTTATCGAAAAATTGTGTTCAGCGACGAAGCTCATTTCTGGTTGAATGGGTACGTTAACAAGCAAAATTGCCGCATCTGGAGTGAAGACCAGCCAGAAGCATTGCAAGAGCTACCAATGCATCCCGAAAAAATTACTGTTTGGTGTGGATTATGGGCCGGTGGCATCATCGGGTCGTACTTCTTCAAAGACGACAATGGCCGGAACGTAACTGTGAATAGCGAGCGCTACCGTGCGATGATAACAAACTTTTTTTGCCCAAAATGGAAGAGCTGGACTTGGCTGACATGTGGATTCAACAAGACGGTGCCACATGCCACACCGCACACGAAACAATGGCCCTATTGCGAGGCGAGTTCGGTGAACAGTTTATCTCACCTTTGGGGCCCGTCAATTGGCCGCCTAGATCGTGTGATTTAACGCCGTTGGACTATTTCTTGTGGGGCCATGTTAAGGCTAATGTCTACAGGGAAAAACCAGCAACGATTGACGCACTGGAAGCCAATATTGAAGCATTTATTCGTGAGATACCGGCCGATATGTTGGAGAGAATGTGCCAAAATTGGACCTTGCGCATGGACCATCTAAAGCGGAGCCGCGGCCAACATTTACATGAAATAACCTTTAAACATTAAATTATATCGACCGTTCTATCGACTCAAATAAAGATTTAATCGTTTTTTCAAATTTTTTGTGTTTTTTTTTTTGAAAATCAAATCCTATACCTCTTAAAAAATCACCCGTTAGTTATGCTTGTGCTTGGGGTTTCGCAATTGATGTAAGAATAGTATCGGTTTAGGGCTGAGTCTAGCTTTTGGTTAATCTGCTCAATTAGTAGCTCACCTATAGGTGTACAGGGTGGCCCAACAAGAAGGTCTCCTGGTATATTTCGGGAAACACGCTCGGATTCGTCAATTTTGATTTCTAGGTCTCAGAATGATCCATTGCGTTACATTTCAGATTTTTAATTGGAAATCCTCATGGTTTAATTTTTAGATTTTCCATGAAGTTTTTTGTAACTTTTGTATGATAAAGTTTATTCCTATCTTCAATCGTTGTGAAGCCATATCAGTTTATAATAAAATTAATTTAATACTCATAGTAATGGATGCACGGCAAAAAATAGTAGTCATGGATACCAGCAAGTACATTTAGCATCAGTGCTACGGCTACGTTGACATCTTGTATAAAAACCGACATAATTTCTAAAAAAAAAACCTATATAATTTCAAAACAACCGACATAATGTCAGTTTCCAAGATACGTGGTACCCCTGCGGAACAGCGTCAACATCTTTGAAATAAAATGCATGTTATATGGCCATAGAACTATAGTCAACGCCAAACAAAGCGGCGTGCACGTCATCACGATAAAAATTCCCCGACCTAATGCCTAGGTTTATATCACAAACAATTGCTCTATTGCAGTTTCATATTAATGTGATATATAAATTGTAAAATGGTCATTACTCTCTTATTATGGTTAATAGTCATATAAACATTGTTATTAAAATATCACATAAGTTGCTTTCTGATAAATTTAGACGCATTATGCGAAATAAAATGTTTTGCAAACGCTCCAATCACTTATCGACATGTAAACGCACTAAACCGATTTCGCAGCGTTGACACATTGTCACCTTGAAACTTATTTAAACTGGGAACTGACATTTGTATTAATTTTGACACTGAATCAATTTGTGGCATTTCAAATCTTTATAAATCCTTTGGCCCCGCATACTGTAAATCAACAACTGTTTGTTTCAAAACAAAATTATTCATTTTACGAGTAGATAAAGGCAATTTTGGTATATAAAGATGCCCAAACAGTTAAATAGTCGGTGTAAGGAACTCGTGGCCTCGTTAATGCACTACTTTGAGCAAGAAAGGGACAACAACGGGCCTTTGTTGCCTTTAAATGCTGTTCAAGAGGTAGGTTACTAATAATTATATGTACGTTAATGTATATCAATAATAGTGAAATTTTATTTCATTTTTTGTAGCGTGTTGCTGCTGCTTTAAAAATTAGTTTAAGGACAGTTAGTCGTATTTCCGAGGGTGTGAAAAGTGATGCAAATTTAGAATCGCCCAAGAAAAAGCGGAGTTATATTAAACGTGTAACCAACACAGCGACATTGGATACAAGTGCCATTCGAGAAGTGATCTATAATATGTATCACAAAAGTAAGATCTTATTATAATAACTTATCAGAAATTTGCATTAATTTGTTAACTAAATTATAATGTCATATTACACATGGTTTCAGAAGAACAAGTTACGATACAAACTTTATGGTCTCGATTAAGAGATAGGGCATTATTTGATGGTAGTGCCACGTCTTTAAGGCGATTGCTTAGAGATCTTGGATTTAAGTGGCTTAAGGACAATCCGCGACGAGGGCTCATGGAACTACCAAGTATAATAATAATAATAATAATAATTTATTGGTACTATTACACAAAAATGTGTTTGCACAGGTCATTTAAAGTAGAACATAAAAGAGTAAGTAAAAGTAACAAACAATACGAAAATAAGACAAACGTAAAACACAAAGTGGCAATAAAAGGTAAAAAAAACTTGATAAAACGATTTTAAAATTTAGAGGAACAATAAAATAAGATGGTTAAAAAATTATGAAATACTAATCATTTTTTCATGTTTGTACTCAAATGTCCTTACACACGTCTGGAGAACGATAAAATATAATACAAAAATAACACATAAAAAAAACAAACGAAAACAAAGTAATAAATAGTCAACAATTATGGAACAAAGTCGGTAAAATCATTATTTAAAAACTCATCTATGCTGTAAAAAGCTTTCGTCACTAAATATCTTTTCACAGTTGCTTTAAAAATGAGTGTTTGACAAAACTTGGGCAGCGCATTAAAAAATTTCACACCGAAATAATTACTTCCGTGTCTAGTTTTTGAAAGTCTTGTGTACTCTGGTATTAATTCATTGTTGAACCTTGTGTTATATTTGTGAATCTCTTTCGGAGTTCTGTAATCATCGTAATTATTTTTAACGTGGATCAGACATTCCAGTATATATATGCATGGCACAGTTAAAATTTTTAGGTCGATAAATGTCGTCTTGCAACACTCTCTGAAATATAAGTTTGCTGTTATTCTCAAGCATCGTCTCTGAACAGCAAACACCTTCGATACATGACATGAATGACCCCAAATCAGTATGCAGTATTGCAAGTTAGATTGGAAGTAAGCATAATAGGCTGTCATTAAAGTCGATTTTGTTACGTAGGTATTTAAACTACGTATCATATATGTTATTTTAGATAACTTCTTTGATAAAGAAGTGATGTGTGATTCCCAAGTTAAGCTTGCATCAATAATCACTCCAAGAAATTTCACGGGCTCTACTAAATCACTTCTATGTGGACGAGTACTGAGTAGAAGAGATTGAGTTTTCGCTATGTTGATTGACAAACTGTTGGCATTAAACCAGTTTTGAATGTTGTCAAAATGCTGCTGAGAATCGAGCAATACATGATCAAAGTTACTATTGGAGGATATTGATGTCGTGTCATCCGCAAATAATATATACTGATTGATGCTACAGTTTGGCAGATCATTGATGTAGATCAAAAAAAGAATCGGTCCCAAGACACTTCCTTGGGGAACTCCGTGCTTAATATGCACATTGTTGGATAAACAATTTTGAAAACTAACATACTGTCTTCTATCTGATAAATAAGACGCAATTAAGGACAAGCTATTATTACTAAAACCATACAGCGACAACTTTTGAATCAAAATGTGATGTTGGACACAATCAAATGCTTTTGTAAGATCATAGAAGTTAGCGAGGGCAAACATGTTATCTTCCAGACATTTTTTGATGAAACTGATAAAATTGTTTATTGCTGCTTTCGTTGATCTGTTGGTACGGTATCCAAACTGGTTGTTACAGAATAAATTGTTACCTTCGAAGTATTCACATATCTGATTCTTCAGAAGAATTTCGAAAATTTTTGCTATAATTGGTATTATAGAGAGGGGTCTGAAATTACATGGATCATTCTCACAGCCTTTCTTGAAGAGTGGCACAATCTTTGCAAGTTTTAATAAGGCAGGAAAGACATTATTTTCTATACACATGTTTATCAATTTTGTTATAGGATATACTAACAAGTTATTTAAGGTCTTCATAATTTTAACATCGATGTCATATGGATCTTTACTTTTAGAATTCTTTAAGCTTTTGATTGCGTCTCGAACATCATTGAATGAAACACTTCGAAAGTTGAAATGTAGTGTATCACTAGTCTGTATAAAATCTTTGAAGTTCGACTGGGTAGCTGGAATTTCAGCGATAATGGTATCAGCAATGCTGACGAAGAAAGAGTTTAAATCATTCGCGCTGAGAGTAGACGAATGTGCTTTTGATGATTGCACACCATTGGATTTAATCACGTTCCACATAGCTGCTTGTTTATCTGACGCTCTACGTATATATTTATCATGAGCATTTTTTTTCCTAATTCTGATTTCTGATCGGTACTTTGATTTGAAGACATTAATCTCCTTCTTTGATACTACTTGGGGATTATCTTTATTAATTTGTGTTATTAGTTCCAAAGTCTCTCTCATATGAGCCAATTCGTGATCAAACCAGTTGATTTTGTTGCGACAACCCTCTGATACTAACCTAGATTTGATTGGCAAGCACTCAGCGATATTATTTGTTAAGATGTTCATGAATCGTTCGAGTTTAGTGGTCAGTGGTAAACTAATATCAGACAAAAAGATCCAGTCGACTGTTTCAATTTTACTGTATAACTTGAAAAGACCTTCATCAGTGACAGGCCTGTAGTTTATTCTCTTCCTAACAGGTTTTAGAGTTTTCAAATTAAAATGAAATGCAATACCTAAATGGTCAGAAAAACATGTATCAAAGGCTTCTACAACTATGCTTGACATGTTTATATTGGTGAAAATATTATCTAGACAAGCATTCTGCCTAGTATTCACATTCACAGTCTGATACAGTCCAAAAGAAACACAAATATCACACATCACATTGGCATGCTTGTCGTGAGTGTTAAATTTAAAATTAAAATCACCAGATATGATTATATTTTGCTTATAGTCTAAAGTACTAAGTAGTATTTGAAGCTTATTATAGAATATATTGAAGTCTCCATTTGGTGATCTATATATGGTTAGAATTTGTGTGCCATCCAAACAGGTGACACCAGCAACCTCAAAGTGTAACTCCTCAGAAATGTTTAAAACTTTGTCACACAAAGGCTTAGCACTAAACTTATTATTGACATAAATACAAACACCACCGTGGATTTTGCTTGACCTGCAAAAAGTAGACACATTCATATATTCACAAATATTCGGAGTATTAATCTCATCGCAAGTCAACCAATGCTCATTCAAACAAAGAAAGTCATAACTGTGCTGTTTTGCCACCAACTCAAGTTCATCAACCTTGTTTCTCAAACACTGTACGTTTAAATGTAAAAGTTTATACCGACAATCATTCGTGCGCACCTGACAGGCGCGAGCGTGTGATAAGGAATTTTTCGATACATTCTGTTTACCCGAATCATGTCGTACTAGGTGATTAGTATCGGATTCCCACTGGCCAGTAAAAAAGCACCAGTACTCTCACTGTTGCAATGCACTCGACGTTCCATTTTATAAATTGGAATTATTGGAGGCGATAACAAAACGTTTCTTTTGAGGGTAGAGCAGCTCGTCTGCACATGACTTCTTATGATGTTTGCCAGTGATTTGCGAAAACCATTCTTTACTACTAATAACTTCACTGAACAGTTAGGGTTATTTTTAATATAACTAGTTATTTTGTTTTCCAATAGAACTGCTAAGGCTTCATCTACAGGCTCGGACTTTAGAAGAATTACTAGATTTGTAAATTTACCCAGTGGTAATACATTTCTAAGAAAACTGTTCAATGTTTTGTGGTTGCTTATGTTTTTTGTGCTGAAAACAATAATTACATAGTCACTTTGTCCATGATCCATAGTTTGAGTGAAAATATTACTTGTGATATTTGCAGCCTCTGTGTTGGGCTTAACAATTCCTTCAACTATATAGCCTATGCTCTTCATTGAATTATGTAAGACTCTAGCGCAGTTTCTGGCCAATTGATCGCCCACAATGAGCAGTTTCTTGGAAGTCTTCGCACTGTTCCTGGATTGTTTAAAAAGTTCATCATACAAAGATACATTTTCCTCAGTCCTCAGCTGTTTATCCCTATCGTCTAATATATTCTGTTGATCGTTGGCATTTCCTTCAGTGTTCTCCGACAATCGACACCTGTCTTCTTTTGTTCTTTCTTCTAATTCGCCTATTTTCCTTGAGTATGCATTGTTTGTTTCTTCCAAAAGACTAATGGTTTTCAGCATATCGGCATGAATATTTTTTAGCTTCGTCATCTCTGTTTGCATGTCTTTTGTCATTTGTTCATAACTGTCCATCTGTTTCTGAAGGTTTTTGTTCTTCTCTTCTGCGCCGACTATTTCTTTTTGTAGTGTACACATTCTTTCTTTTTGGTTTTTCAATTGGTCTTTAAAAGAATTTTGCTCCTCTATGAAACTTTGTTCAGATTCAAAAACATCTTCTTCAAAATCCTTGGCCTTCTTCGTTAATCTAATTATATGTTTCTCTTTATCTTGTATCTCGTGCTTTAATGAGTTAATTTCTGTAGTGTAAGAATCGTAGTTTCGATGCTCGTTATCCTCCGATTCACAGGCAGCAGAACAATATACTCTGTTATTTGAGAGCTTTACAATTGAACTCAATCTATTTGCACAGCTCGCGTGAAAAATTGCATGGCATGATATGCAAAAATAAGAAAGAGCTTCTTTTGTTTTGCAACATTTGAACCTAGCTACCATTTTCAACTGGATACGGGCCTGTTTGTTTTCTTATTTGTTATCTTGTCTTTCGTAAATATATGGTGATTAGGAATATACTCACTGGTCGTTTTTGTCGATTTTTCTCGTGCTGTTTTTTGTGTACTTATTTGCGTTTTGTAATTAATCCTCAAAATCAGTGTTTCTGAGTTGCAGTTTTTCAGCGTATAATTTATAAAAATTGCTCACATGTAGATGCAGCACTGGTTCAAATTTGAAAATTGTCTCTCAAAAATAACCCACTATAGTAAGCAAAAACAGACACGACGATAAAAGAAGGTGTTACACCACATACACTGTGTTATCTAGATACTAGATAGCTTTGAAAAGGGTGGAATTTCTAAGGCAATACAATCAAGCCAAGGTTGAGGCCTTATACCAGTTTGTCTTCCTCGATGAAACTTGGATATTTCAAAATGGGACCATAGGTCGCTCTTGGCAAAATGGAAACCAAAAAAGCGTGAAAGCTATTAAAACAGATGGTAAAAGGTATGTACTTTTACACAATTTGCACTATAAAATTTAAAACTAATATATTTTAGATACATTATATTACATGCTGGAAATGAAAATGGGTTTATTGAGGGTAGTGAAGCGATATTTTCTTCGAAAACAAAATTGAGCGATTACCATGGAGAGATGAACCAGGACAATTTTTTGAAATGGTTTCAACATCAGTTATTAGAAAAATTGGAGAGTCCATCTATGATTATACTGGATAACGCCCCTTATCACAGCATGATATTGAACAAAGTGCCCAACAATGCATGGACAAAAAAAAATATCCAAGACTGGTTGACAAATCAAAACATACCATTTTTAAACACAATGTTTAAAACAGAGCTATTGAGTATTGTTGCTCGGTACATAATGCTTCTTAATTATGTATATTTTGGTCGACAGTTTATATTTCTTTTGTTTATTCCTATTCTTAAAATAACTGCTTTTTTAGAAACAAACCACCTAAAATATACGTGATTGATGAGTTGGCGGAACAACATGGGCACAAAGTTCTTCGTCTGCCTCCTTACCATTGTATATTTAACCCTATTGAGTTAATTTGGGGCATAGCAAAAGGTTACTATAACAGACATATTGGTAGAGATGGTAACAGTGAAAAAGACTGTTTGGATATGTGGAACGAGGCTCTACAAACGGTTACCCCAGACATGTGGAAAAATAGTGTTCGACATACTGAGCAAGAAATTTTTAAATGGTATGAAAGAGAACGAATTTTTGATCGACCAGACATCGAACCTTTAACAATCAACTTTGAGAGTGATGAAGATTCAGATTCAGACAGCGCTGAAGAAAGAAACTCCGACTAACTTTATTGTACAGAAAAAGCTTACACCAGTAGCTTACCTAATTTTAGAATGCATTTTTCTGTATGAATTCTGTAAAATAAATACCATGCATCAAATTTGGAGGACCCCATTTGGATTTTTATTCAGTACCTTTAAGCTATCAATTAAATATGGTAGTTTCATAGTGTCATCTGATCAATAATTGTCATACTTAATGATTATGCAAGTACAGATCTATAATTTTATTATACTAATATTTTTGTTCTCATTTGAGGTTAATATTGCTTATAAACCTAGATATGTAAATAATAAATTTTATTATTTTACAAAAAGTTTGGCAACAATGTAAATTTTTCAACACACCCACTTTGATGACGTGCACGCCACTTTGTTTGGCGTTGACTATACGCAGTTATTATACAATGTTGCACCAGACGCTGTGTCAGCATATGATAACAACTTCTCGCTAATCCGTTGCTAGAATAGTGCCTTTGCTGTTTTCTGCTGATTCTTAGTCAGCTTTCTGAATGTATAAATAGGCCTCGCGGCCATATCCTGTTGTTCAATACCCGGCTAGGCACCGTAACAGTCACTTATATAAACTTTGTTGTTCAATACCCGGTTAGACTCCGTAAATGTCATTTGTAAACCTTTGTATTTTGTATGGACTGAAGCCTCAGTCCTCAAATAAATTTTTTTAAAAAGTTATTTCTAAATCTAATGATTTAAGATGCATAACCCACTTACATCATTTTTTAAGAAAGTTTGTAATATTTTTACAATACAATGACGGAATATTCTTGAGAAGTAATACAATCCACAGTTCGCAATAAATGCAAATTTGAATTGCCAGTTAAATCATCCGCACTAGGGAGAAATCAAACAAGAAATTATTCAGCCAAAAGTCGATGACTAGGAAAGTTTCCTATCACCGGAGAAACAGCTCTCTACTTGCGACAAAGGAAGTGAAAATTGCTTAGAATTCCCTTGGATTTTCCCTCTTACGGATGTCGCCGGAGTGCTTAAAGTTTCTCTTTTATTTTCCTCTTTAAGCGACTTGAAAAGTTATTATATCAATAGACACCCATTTATGGACAATTCCTTTCTGTGTTGGAGAGCTCCTATAGGAATTTCTATTTCTGTAAATAAAACTAAATGATTCGCGAAATAAAGATGGATTGCCAGTTAAAGGTGCCATGCATTTTTAAGCACCCTAAAGATAATCTTGTACGGGGGCTGTTTCAAAAATAAGGTTCCCACATTTTTTGCAGGCACGAGGAATTTTTTATTTGAAAAAACGAATTCGCCATGGCAAACGCTGATCTTTAAGTTATTTTCCTCCATAGTCGCTATTTTTATCTACGCATTTTTTTATATACTATAACTGTAATAACTCATCGATGTTCACGTGAACATCACTTAACTACCAGTAGTCGGCTGTTCATAGGCGGGGTATGAATGTTTAACATGGGTGAACTAGATTTGTCACATGCTTAATAAAGAGTGGTTTGAAACATATTGTCAAAAATTTGGGAATTACCTTTATTCATCGTCGCTTCCACTTACATCTGACAGTAATAAACTGTCGCTATCGCTTTCCTCGTTGAAATTGACTATAACTGGCTCTATGATGGTGTCGATGTGGTGGTCAAGCTGTCATATTTTTGTTTCTTCCTTCACAACATGACGGATAGCATTCTGCCAAGCTTCGGGCGTTACTAGCTGTATGGAAGTCTCAAGTAAAACCTTAACGTCTGGTAATTTGAAGGTTGTGTTATGGCGCGCAATATAACCCTTTACTTGAGCCCAGATGAGCTCTATTGGGTTCAGTTCACAGTGGTAGGGCGGTAACCGCAGCACAGTGACACCACATTGACGGGCCATTTCATCAGTCACGTAACTAATGTTCGCAGGTTTGTGCTGTTTAATTTTTTCATACAATTCCGCTTTCACACATGAATGGTCAAACGGGATTCCTTTTTCGCGCAACCATTGCTGCATGTCACTTTTTCGAGATCCCATAGTCGGTACACGTTCGGCTCGACGACTATAGTAGGAAGCATTATCCATGACGATCACAGAGTTGGGCTCAACTCGCTGAAGCACCCCTTGAAAGCAGCTCTCGAAGCAGCTGGCATTCATTTCGTCATGGTAATCACCTCCTTTCTTAGAGACGAAAATCAAGTCACACTCTTCTAAAAAGCCACTATCGCTACCAATATGAGTTACGATCAATCTTTGGCTCATTACCTCGACGCTCATTTGGGGTATAATTTCATTTTCCTTGATCGCTGCATGTACAGCCTTGAGGGTTGGTATCTCATTCCTAAAGAAGAATGAATGTACGATTCGCCTTAACGCCATTTTGCTATCGTCATCCAATTTAACGGCCTTTCGTCCCTTCAAAGTAAACTTTGGATCAGTAGTAGCTCCAGTTTTCTCCTTTTCATCTCACTTCGAGAGGAGTTGGCGGTTGCCTGGAATCAGATACCACAGGAGGACATTGACCACCTGATCAGAAGCATGCCTAGGCGCGTTGGAGAATGCGTAGTACATCAGGGTGCATCCACACATTATTAAAGGTCAAAGGGCTTTAAAGCAGTGCAATCATTTTGAAATTTTTATCATTTACTTATTATGCTTCATTAAGTACTTATACAAAATTTTATTAAAATAAAACCATTTAAACTGGGTGTTCGGATTTATATGTCACTTAGTATATATATCAACAAACTCCAGCGAGGATTTAGTAAGGTCTCTACCATAAAGTAAAAATGTGTTGATCCAATGAATTTTTCCTGATCAATGGTAATTCAAACAATATATTTATTTGATTTATTTGTATTTATACATAATTAGCTCACAAGCTAATCTAGTACAGAACTTTAGACCTGAAATTGATGCCATCAGAATTGTCATTATGGGAATGTGAATAATTAGCGATTAATCAAACCAAGAAGCTTGATATTTTTATAAACTATTTGAATTTCAAAGGAAATTACCTGAAATGTTAATGCTCGAATCGTCTTGATTTTTTTTGTTGTTCTACTTGACTTGAGGTCGAGCATTTTCAAGCTACGTGATATTTGATGGCAAATTATATTTTCTTCTACTAAAGGCTCTCAGTGATATTTATTTGTACAATCAATAACCGTATTCTGTATTTTAATGCAAATAATCATGAGTGGTGGAAATTACATGAAGATGTATTCTCGTATCTAGTTTTAATGAAAACAGATTTTTTACAACATCAGCACCCATTGAAAGGGAATTTTCCAGGTCTGCATTGACCACTGCGGAGCCCCGAAACAGATTATCTACGAGCCCCTTCCCACTTCAGTTAGCCCACTTCAAGATTCGTACCAAAATATGCATTTATAAACTAAACATGATAAAACTATTTACAGCTAAAACAATTTATTTTCTCAAAAACATTTTAGATACAAAAATACATATTTGAAATCACTTAGACCTATAACTAATAGAACATCTGAACAAATAAACAATGTGCGAAGTTAACAAATCAACAATTGAAAGATTACCATTGGGTAACTTCACCTTTATTTTTTATTACGGCTGAAATTCTTTGGGGCATAGTGTTAGCCAAGTTTTGGCAAAAATTTGGTGTAAAACAATCCCATATTTCTTGAAGCTTTTGTCTCAGTTCGGTGATTG